AGACGAACATTGGAGTCCCCTCCAGGAGCAGATACCTTCATGAAGTTTAATGCCCCAGTCACCGTGGAGTAATCCAGCCAAAGGTTTTCTTCGGGACTGGGTATACCGTAGACGTCGTTATAATCAGAAGAGTACCGAATAGCACCAGCAAATATCCCAAGCGTATCTCCTTCTTGAACTGAAATGATGGAGCAAACCTTGAGAAAGACATCATCTTTGGGTTGAAGAGTAATGAAGATAGATTTATTCCGCATTGTTTCTGCCTTTGGCTGCAAGTCAAAGAACCCACCGAGTGTAACAGCGGATGGCTCGTGTGATCCGCTCAATTGGAAGACGGTTTCCTCCACGCTGGAGAACCACGGGTTGATAGCGCTGTTCCACGCATTTTCAGGAATACTAAGTCTGTCCGCTACGAGCGGCTGGCTCAGCCATAGTCTTCCTGTGAAATCGCCCTTGCTCTCCTCGGCCACACGCTCTTCCAACTGTTTGATATGGAAGGCATATCTTTCTTCCCAGTTCTGGACCATCTCTACCAAAGAAGCCCCAGCTTCTGATGAGTAGCTTTTGCAGAACCGATCGAGTTCCTTTGTGCGGTACAAGAGAATTTTGTCGACACCCGCGCTCCGCATCTGGAATAGTCGTTTCCAAAAAAGACGGCACTGCCGTTGATTAGCGAGGCTAAGTCCATAACCCGCTTCCCTCATGAAGCGCTCGGTAGCGACCTTCTCGGCCATCGTGAATTCATCAAGGGGGCCTTTGGAGGTTGGCAAAATCTTTGGGTCAAGGAGTTCGGCGCCTTTCTGGATGATTTCCCAATAGACGGTCTCGTTAAATCGCGATTGGATACCTTTGCTTGCAGAAAATGCATTCTCCTGCTTGATTAGCTGGACTGCGTCGGGGTATTGCAACTTGAGTATGTCATCCACAACCCTCTGAATCGCCTCAACGTTCGTTGTCATAATTGCCTGCTTTGAACGGTGTCCGCATCTCCCAAGTGGATCGTTAAGCTTGATACAATTAATAAGTATGTTCTCGACAACACTGTGCGGCGCTTTTTCGCCTTGATGGGTGTACGAGTCGGTCAAGGGCGTCCCAGCCTGGGGTAAGTTCCTCGCTATGTTCGCTTCATCCGTCAATGGAGAAACGGTTGGTAAGCCTTTTTCTAGAGGTGGTACGGTATTGTTCATCCCTTGCAATATTTCTTTGCGAGTAGTCTTGTCTTTCGTCTTGGCTCTGCTCTTCCTTTTCTTATGGGAAGGTGCGTCTAGCCCCGTGTAGTCCGCTCTACTTCGTTTATCAGGTGTGGGGAGGAACCGATAAGAGCCGCGCTTTGCTTCAGGATCCGGACTAGCTGTGGGAGTAGGAAGAGGTGGTGGATCTGTTATTCCTACCTGCTGTCTTGTTTGACGAACTATTCATGTTAGCGGAAAAGGTTGCTCGAACAACAGTCTGGGTGCTCACTGAAATCAGAAATGCCAAGAATGTGTTGCTTGATAGGCTCATTGCTGCAGTTACTGATTCCGCAGATTACTAGCAGCTCCTGGATTTTCTCCGCTGTCAGAGACCGAAAGATTTCCTCCATGGTTGATTGTGCTGTGGATGTAAGCTCCAACTAGGAGATGTTGGGGAAGAGAAGTCAGGCTGCCGCTACTTTCGGTCGCATAGGTAAACTAATCTGTATTAGGAAATAAGGGGTCTAGGCCGCTAGCAGAATGAGACAGAAAGAAAAGGAAACAAATGTACTTCTCGAAGCAGACCATATTGTAACTAACCAGTATCTTGTACTGTATGTATCAACTCACTGCTGGTAATTTGTTTGCGTGCTCTTGTCGGAACGTGGTCGTTACAGTACGGACTAGTACGGGCATAGCCAATTGAGTACTTGAGAGTGTGTTTTTTATATACTATATAAAGTGCAGAATAAATAGGGGATGAGCTTAGTAAGGTCGTTGAGAGCCTTACGATCATCAGGCAGAGGGGGTGCTGAATATTCCTCGGGCGCACTAGTAAAATGGCGACCCTCTTTTGTTGACAGCTCTTCCTGCCACATCGTTGCTTTAGTGATGGCGCATCATGCGGGTTTCTTCGGCACATATGCCTCTTAGCTTCCTGCTTTACTTATGGGCTATAATTGGACAAAAGCCGCCTCTCTAAATCGCCCATTTGCTCACGTCGTGTCCCAAAGCCATAGCTTTCTGAGTCTAACGTATTCGGTAAGCGAGTTGGCCATGTAAGCGAGTTGGCCACCTACCCCAAAACGCGACCATAATTTAGCACTCAAGTAATTCAACCATCCACCATGCCACCAATCCGCCCCCAAAGCTCTCGAAATTCAATAGAGCAAGAGGGTAGGATCTTATTAGCAATTCAGGCTTTTAAGAATAAAGAAATCTCCTCAATTCGTGAGGTAGCACGCCGATTTAATATCCCGCGTTCAACTCTTCAAAATCGACTAAACGGCCACCAAAACCGCGCGATTTCACGCGCAAATTCACACAAATTAACAGAAAATTAAGAGGAAACGCTTCAAAAATGGATCCTATCGCTTGATGATCGCGGAGCAGCGCCTCGGCCTAGTACTGTACGAGAGATTGCGAATCTTCTTCTCAAGGCCCGCGAAACTACCCCAGTTCAAACCGTTGGGGAAAAATGGGTTTATAACTTCGTTAAAAGGCATCCTGAACTATCAAACCGGTTCTCGAGGCGCTATAATTACGAGCGCGCAAAGTGTGAAGACCCCAAAATTATTGGTGAATGGTTTAATCTTGTTCAAAAAACCATCCTTGAAAACGGTATCGATCCCGACGATATTTATAACTTTGATGAGACTGGTTTCGCGATGGGGTTAACAGCGACCGCGAAGGTTGTTACAAGGGCTAAATACTATGGTCGGCGATCGCTTTTACAACCCGGAAATCGTGAGTGGGTAACCGCAATTGAATGTACAAATGCTTCGGGTTGGGCGTTGCCTCCATGTATTATTTTCAAAGGCAAGGTTTTTATCGAATCTTGGTTCGATAACCTCCCAGATGATTGGCGATTCGAAATAAGCCCAAATGGCTGGACTTCCGATGAAATCGGCCTTCGTTGGCTCGAAAAGCTCTTTATTCCATTGACTTCTTCGCGGGTTAAAGGTCGGTATCGACTTTTGATACTTGATGGCCATGGAAGTCATTTGACCATCAATTTCGATGAAATTTGTGAAAAAAACAACATTATACCAATTTGCATGCCTCCGCATTCGTCCCATCTTTTACAGCCTCTCGATATTGGTTGTTTTGCGGTATTAAAGCGCTCATACGGTCGGCTTGTTGAAACGAAGATGCGCCTCGGGATCAACCATATCGACAAACTTGATTTCCTTGAGGCATACCCATACGCTCGAATTGAGGCATATAAATCCGAGACTATTAAAAATAGCTTCGCAGCAGCTGGTTTAGTGCCTTTTTGTCCAGATCGAGTACTCTCAAAGCTCAATATTTGCCTTCGAACCCCAACACCCCCCGTAAGCCGGGGTAGTGAATCAAGCCGCAATTTTACCCCTAAAACCCCTTTTACCGAGAAACAACTACGTCGACAAGCTTCATCAATCAAAGCTTTACTTCGTACGGGATCTCGAAGTCCACCAAGCCCATCAAACCGCGCGATAAATCAACTTGTTAAAGGCTGCCAACTCGCTCTACAAAGCGCTACAATTTTAGCCAAGGAAAACAGCGAATTACGCGCCGCCAACGAGAAACAAAAACAAAAGCGAACTCGATCAACTAGGCAGATAGCTCACGAAGGCGACCTCTCCGTTCAGGATGTTCGTGAGCTACGTTCAGAGCCATTTGAGGCCCAAGTAGCGCGTATTAATACCTATCGTGAGCAGGTTTCAGAGGGTTTACAGCCACGTACGCGGGGCCAGCGAGGATGTGGAATATGTAGAAAGCCAGGGCATAGAAGAGAGACATGCCCAGATAGAGAAATTAGCTAGTTGAATTAATTTTATGGCGTTTTGGTTGAGAAAAATGCATTTTAAACTAATAAATCGAGGCAGGTGGCCAACTCGCTTACATGGCCAACTCGCTTACCGAATACGTTAAGGTACTGCCCTTAGCCTGAATTAGCTTGAACTTGAGGAATTATTGATTTTAGTCGCTCATACATCAAATTGAATACATACTTCCAATAAAGAGATTTCTTATGTATAATTTGCGCTAGCAGAAAATCGAGGCATCCGACTTGCGTAGATTGGCGTAACGAGACCCTCTGATAGGGGCATGCGAGGATGCCTACCTTTTGGAGCTTCTAATACTGATCTTAGGCTATTCGGTAGCCTCTAGCAAAACGAGTACGATCTTTGATGAGTGACATATAGATTAGTACTTCGAGAACGAAGGTAGGAATTATGCGACGTTACTAAAACTGATTCGGGAAGGAGCCAGCGAGGCGACTCTGATCAAAGTAAAGACAAGCGCTAACCGCTTTAGGATAGTATGTTGCCTAAAGTTTAAGGCCCAATATTTTTGGGGCCGGGATCCGTTGGCAGAAAGCTGATCGTCAGCCGAGGACCCCTGACGCACTTGTGTCGAAGCTTGACTCTCTGTTCCAACGAACCAATCGCCGAGTGCAGCTCTTCAAATAACAGATCCATTGACTTAAGGGCCGAAGAACGCGAGACGGAATCATAAGGGAGACAATAAGCAGAAGAGCGCAACCAACAGACCTCTTTCACAGAGCTCTTATAGCACCGCCATGGCGTCCTCTCTCGCCAGTTGCGAGTTCCATGACTGGAGGAATTAAGGCTAGAAGTGAAGTTCTATTTCATTACGTCTAGGAAATACCCAATTTGGGAATGGCTGAGCTTGGACTTTTCACGGCTTGCTGCAGGACTGGCCAATCCCTTCTATCTCATAGCAAGGACCCTAGGGTATAAATATGACATCTTCCCCTCTCCAACTGTTTCACTTGAAATCCTTTCTCGGCCATCTTCGGCCGTTCGCATCTCGTCGCTAGATATGGATAAAAACAAGAATGAACACTCTCGAGGTGACCCTCCCGTTACTTCTCAGCACCATACGGAGGATAAAGCCCTCTCTTTGCAAGACAAGGTGAGTTGTGATCAAAAAGCCTTAACAACTCATCTCCTAGCTGACCACTTGGCTTTGATTGAAGAACCGTCCCCAGGGTCTCGTTCTTCTCGACGAGGAGCAAAGAAGCCGACAAGGTATTGCGATCTTGTCCCACCCCTTGCTCCCCTATATAAGAAAATTCTAATATTTTTCCCTTGGACCATAGGTGCTTCATCCATAGGGTCTGGGCATGGCTTCTTTAGGATGCAAATAGACGAAAATTCACGTGTATTTAACGGCGATGCCAGAGGCAAGCGTCCCGATGGAACTCAGCTCCACATGATCAGTGGTGGGTCTGTGAAGAATAAGAGCACTCTGATCAACGGCGATTTAGACCCGGAAATTTTTAGAGAGATTTTTGGCAAAGATCGCTAGGACGACCGAATCGGAGAAATATCTAGCGTATCGTCTGGGCTTTGCAGGGTCGACCAGTCTGCTAAAGGATATCGAACGTACTTGATTTATCTCCTTTGCAAATAAAGCCTAACTATCGTGAGAATGACCTCCACTATGCACTTGAAACAGATGGCGTATAGAACTGTAATTAATGAACCCGAGGATAAAAGGGACCTAGTAAGAGGCCTTCTGGAGGCCTATCTGTCCGTCCAATATGTGACATGTTGTTCAAAGCAGCCATTTCAAAGGTAGGGGAGGACTAATCGAAATGATTGATGTTGCTTGTTGCCACGTCAATAATTCTGCCTTTGACGAGCTGAATATTTGGAGGAATGTGAGGGAGCATAATGATTTCGTGATCTGTGCTGCCTTCTGATTAGAGTGCGCCAAAAACCGCAATTGGGGGCAAACCTTGGCCCCAAAAACCATCGATTCAAGATATAAAAACCATTTTCATGCATAAAAATACATAAAAGTGCCAAGACCTTCCTAATCAGGACTAGTTATGTATATTTATGCATGAAAATGGTTTTTGGATGGTTTAATGGTTTCTTGGCAATGCCAAGATTGGGGCCAAATGCGGTTTTTGGCGCACTCTACTTCTGATTGGGTACAGACATTTCGAGGCCGGCTTGCTAAGAATAGAAGGGTGAGAAAGCAACATCAAAAGATTTGTGCGGGGGACAAAACCTCACTGGAATAGTTTTTGAATGAACCGACACGCGATAATCTTCTCTTCTTTATTTGGCTTGGATTATAAATTGATGGAGGCTTCTTCACTTCGGTATCTTGAAGCTGATATACCGCTGGTTCGGTTCGGGCATATTGACTGGCAGCATTAGGGATCGTTTGTTCCGGCCTTTCTCTACCTTGCTCTCCTTCTGATATCCAAAAGGATTGTACCCAGTTCGGAAAAAGAGACCGCAGTGATGCTGAAGAAAGACATTGCATGCTTTAGTTCGAATCGTGTAGACAAGTCTCTTATAGAGGCTTCAGCAGAGATCAAAGGTATTTAAACCTAGCAGATTATAAAAGGGCTTATCTCTACAGTTCAGGATGCCATTGATTGCACCACGTCATTGAACCAAAATTCAATCATGGTAAGTATTTACACTAGTGCAAGATGAGCTTTGGTTAATGGTGAGAGAAGAGTCTTGGTCTTTGACGGATAGTCAAATGATTCAGGAGACCATTGCACGTCTTTCAAGCACTGACCGCATATTCCACTACCTTACGTTCTTATAATGTATCACTTACTGAACATTTTCTCCTTGAAGCTGAAGCAGCTGAATATTAGACACGCAATTAAGAAATCCACCTCCTTCATTTCTTGTGCATTCAAGCCACCATTCTGCATTTTCTCTATCTTTCGATCGCGGTCTTCGCTAAACAGGAAATAACATACGTACTCCGTGACAAGTGATCCTTGTCTCAATTAAATGCTATATCCAAATGACTATCTATGTTAATTATATACTTCTTATATCTGATTAGATGCAATGCTTAGGCCAGAATAGAGAGACGAAGACAAACCCCAAAGCAGCAACATTCAACCAAAAGCAACCAAACTCCTCTCAGTGGGGAATAGAGCACTCTGTCGAATCAACAGGCCACCCAATAAACGCCCTCCACTCAGAGTCCAATGAATTCCCAATCTGTGACAAAATTCTCGTTCCCCAATCTCCCATCCACCAGCAATCTCTCAAGTGGTGCAAAATAACCGCATAGTGTGCCAGCACAACAAGTGCAAATGGCTCACGTGCTTCAAGCAGTTCTAAAAATCCAGCTGAGACTTGAAAAGTCCAACAAAACGCAAACATTTTGGGCTCAACACCTTCCATCAACTTTTTAAGGGAAACGCTCAAATGTTCAATTACCGATCCATATAATGCCTCTTTGTGGGCAGGGTCTTGTAATGCCTCTATATGGTTCTGCCGATGTAGCAAGAATACTACTAGACGTGACATATCCGGCATTGTTGGATGGGAATGTTCAGGTTTCACGAGCGGGCCGAGCTCGCCGGCTTCCACGCGCCCTAGCAGTGGAATCATGATGCTGATAAGCCACCGGGTTTGCCTGAAAACGTCGAAGAATTCATTCAGGATTTCTGGCTGATCTATGTCGTTTTCGCAGTCGACCAGGCAGTAACCGAAGGTGAAGGCTGATTACATAATGATCACTGACCAGCTCAGGCTGATCCGGGGCGTGCTCAATTCTACCCAGTGAGCAAAAGCGGCGAGGGGGTGAGCACTAGAACGGAAGGGGGAAGCCAAGAAGTGGCAGAGGAAATCAAGTACATAGGTAGCTATACGTACCATATTTCCTCTGCCGGGTGGGGCTTTCCTATCTTGGCTGCCGCCGCTTTAATGAGGGCGCTCAGGGTCAGGCTCACTGAGTAAATTTCAGTCCGGGCTCAGACTCAGTGAGTGGCTCAGAACCATCACGTGATAAAACAGTAAGGTCCAATGAACGCTCACTGAGCACTCAGTGACTCTGATTGGCTGCTCACTGATTGCTCACCGATTACTCAGAGATTGATCAGAGGCATCTATTGAGCACTCAGTCCATGCTCCGTCCATACCCAAAAGGGCGCCCGGCCCCACAATGCTGTTTATTTGTGAATTATTTTCTGATGGCCTAATCAGCTTCAGTTTCTTGAGGTGTTCCATACTCCTTTTCCACCCTCAACTCCAACCCACTAAAAAAGGCGATGCAGCGGCGATGACGCCAAAATTAAAGCCACAGATTTAACCTGTGTTTAAGTGACGCAAGAGGAATATCCCTCTGCTAATCTCATCTACGGCTGCCTTTGCGTAGACCCGTAGGTATAAATTGAAGCTATGTTCCCTCCCTGAGTCATTGGCACACTTTCATCCTTCATCCTTCTCTCTTTTTCTTCGAGCTTCATTTCTATTCTAGCGCTGCTCTGGGTATTTTCTCATCTTGGTCATGGGTCAAAAGCTCTTCTTTGCTCAACAAGATGATCTCGCCAAAGAGACGCACCACAAGCCAGCGGACAAGAGCGGCTATGTTTTCGGCGCTCATGCAGCGGAAGACCGCATCCGAGACAAAGATAAAAGGATACCCAAGACCAAGAAGATGTATCGCCAAGCCGTCGATCAGTGGATGAAGTGAGTTGCGATGCACTCGTACAGGAGACCCCGCCGGATAAACTTCTAACTGGCTTTTAGATTCGTTCAACAAAATGGGATCAAGGGTTACCACATCGGACCAGGCTGTGCGACTCCAGATCATACACTCATCAAAGAGTTTCTTCGCTGGTACATTCACCATGCGAAAGGGAAAAAAAGTCAAAATGGACGGCCAGTGATGACATCGGTTCTTAATATGGCGGAAAGGCTGTTTGGTGGATTTGAAGAACAGCTGCAAATCGAAATTGTGAAGAAAGACCGAATCGAGGCCTTCAACGTAAGCACCCGCCAAGTACCGCGATGCTGGTCAGGCTAACCGAAATACAGTGGATAAGGAAAACACTGACGGCAAATGAAGGGACGATCGAGAATGTTGAGGATCCAGCCCACAGCTTTACCAAGAAAGATTTTTACCGAATGATATCCTCTATGTGGCAATCAGATCATCGCAGGTTCATGCCCGGGTTGCTCAAGGCCATTATCATGCTAGCTCTTCAACTATACCTGTTCACCGGAGCCAGAATCGGGGCTTTCATCCCGCCCCACGAGGATAGAAACGAAAAAGGGCTAAGATATAAGGTGATTACACTTCGACGCTGGGGCTTTACGTGGCTAACTTCCGACAAAGGATATCACTCTGGTCCTTTTTCCATCTGCTACAGCACCTTGGAAGGTGGAGTGGAAAGTGAACCAGAATTGGCTCAAAGGGAATCGAAATCCAGATTACGCAGTGTAAGTTACCTAAAATTGCAACTTTGAGCCCACTTGTTTCAATTGAAAGCGCCCTCGCTAACTGTAAATCAAGATTCGGGATCGGTATTCGTGACACAAAGAGACCACAATTTGCGTCTGGCTATTTTCTTCTAGCTATTGCTCTTCAACACGGTGCTCTGTTTGGTATCGAAACTGTGGATGACTTGGCCAAGTATGACCTCTCTAGCGGAAAGCCTATTGAATTACGCTGGAAAGATGAATATATGAAAAGGCCTGTTCTCAGAAATGTCACAGCCGATGGCCCACAAGATGTCCCACTCCATAAAGAGCGGTTCTGTGAGTTACTGCGTGGAATCGTCACGACTGCTGGATACAGCAAGAGTGTAACTGTTCATATGATTCGAAAATATCTTGGAAGTGTCATTGAAGGTAGGACAGTCAAAGCTTATATCATGTTGAAAGGAAACAAACATTTCGCTAATTACTGGCACAGAAAAGTATGGATCTGCCTTGGTATCTCAAATATATGGTCACAAAGATGCAGGGACATATCCTAAAGAGTATTTGCTACATTGCTCTTCAATTGATACAGTCTCGGCCGTTTTAGGGGAAGAAAAACAGTCCACCCACATTGAGTACTTCCAAGGTTGCGAGAGATTCTACGAGCATGGATATCCAGTGGAACTGCCCGCAGAGGTTGAGGCGAATATAGAACTGAGAAAATGTCTCTCACACAGGCCAGCTTGCCTTAACGCGGCTGCTGGGTTGCTGACGACAGCAGTCAATGTTTCGGCATCGCAGGCTGGAACCTGCTCTGTCATGGCTCTGACGACAATTATTGTGACAGTGTTGACGTTCGTGCTGTTCGGGGTCTCGTTGACCGTCTACAAATTTGTCAAACTGAAAAGGGTCTTGGAGGATGATCAACTCGAAGGCCAGACCCAAACTATCCTTAGGAGTCGAGGACATCCTGACCTGCGAGCGGCGCTAGCCAAGGCCCAGACTGCTTTGGATGGCCACGCACTCGTAGCGCTGAAAGCGACTGTCACGGAAGCTCTGGCTCTTTCTGAGCTCTTAGATGAGAGTATGCCTCCAACAGGCATCAAAGCTGACGCAGATGGAACTGGAGTGAGAGAAATGGCCAACCGACAGGCCCGGAGCAGGAACAACCGATTGTGTCATTATCTTACCGAACTTTGCTTGGCACACGTGAACGACAGCTCCCCGGACCAAAAACTCTAAGGTGGAAAAACAAGGTAGCGTGACGGATCAGGCAAGCTTCTTACTATTTGTTTATTTCCTGATTACAGTAGCTAGAAAACCAAGACATTGTAACAGGGCAATAAGGCATCAAACTAGAGTCAAATTCTTGAGGGAATGGGAGCTGTAGCACCTGAGTGCTCAAGAATGGGCCCATCATTCAAACACCTTACTCCCGGGTTGTGCCTCGGGGGAGGTGAGTAACCTAGAAACCGATAAGCCTGGGAAGGTGGGATTCAGGTACTTGTCCACCCACCAGCTCCACATTGTTTCCAACAAATGCCCCGTAGTAATTCTCATGATACTCTGGTCTCAAGCCAGGCTTGCCATTACAGGTGCCCCCTGCATCAACAGCGCTTCTATGGAAAGCATCAACGGCAGCTCGGTCTAGAACGAATCAGTTGATGAGTATATACCCCGAATCTGAAAGAGAAAACCGCTGTATCCTGCTAGTGCACTGCAGGAATAATATTCGGTGATAGCATTACAGCGCTATAGATAAGAACCAGATACATGATGTACAAACTGGGTTGCCATCCCTGGAATAGGCCCATTCTTTCAAGCGGCCGGACAAAATACTGCATGGCTCCAAGACCGTTATAAACGGCAACTCGAGCAATTTCCAAAGTAAGCGGCATCGGCTGGCCCAGTGGCTCTGCGAGACTATGGATAATCGGTACCAGGGCAAGCAAGCCAAAGGAGGTACAGTGATATTGAAACTTGAGACTTGTCACAGGAGTGCCCGAGGGTTGTACCAGCACCTCGACCAGATGTCCCACGAAAAGCAAAGAGATAGCGCAAATGTACCCGAGCTGCACCAAGGGGCGAGTAGAGAACTGAAGAGCGACGTAGGAGATGGTGGTTGTATAAATCAATAGCAGGATGCCCCCAAACTCCAGCTTCTCCCAATCGCATGCATCAGTGCTACCAAGGACGAGGAGGATACGGTAGGCGAGACTAAGGAAACACCAGGAGACGACACCAGAGCCGAAAAGAAGTGTCGCGAGCGAGTCACTTATGCCCGTATTGGACAGAGGAAAATGAAGAAGTAGGCATTGAAGTGTAAATAAAGAAAAATAAGTGATCCCAAAAATATCGAGAATAGCGATCACTGTGCAGTCTCGCAGAGTAAGGATGTTGGGACCCTCCATCGAAGAGAGTAATTTGTGATACGGTCGCCGAGCGATTGCGAAGAGAATTTGCTTACCATCGGAGTCTAGGCAGCAAAGGTCTTTTATAAGGGGAGATCAAGTAGAATGAAATGTGGACAGTGCCTGTAGAGTGAATGCAGGGAAGGCGTTCATTATGAGCCCACACAAACCTTTCGGGAGCTCCTTGGGCCAGTACTACCTGCTTTCATCTTTAACTTGTATTCCAGGCTAGGCTGGTTATATCTGGTTGACTGGATAACTTCCATCTTAAATGATGTTCTTCAACAGTGGTGCCATTCAGACCGCAAAGTCGCCGCAAGACCGTCCAGCATGTGAATCTACGTGAGGGAGAAGATGATGTTAAGCGATGCTCTGATTTTGCACTCAATGAGCCCTGCTATACGAGGTGTGTATCAACATTCAGTGTAGTGTCGAAGGCCGATCGCTCGGCAAGAGATGCTAACTGAACAAATGGTGAAAGCAAAGTTGAGGCACTGATCAAAAAGACTTGCACCTGACCTCATCAGCGTTGGGGGAAAAATAATGAAGATTAGGTGAACTTACCCCGGTGGGCAAGAACCAGCAATTGAACACGAAAGCTCCTACGGTGACCAGGCAACTGGTTGCGGCTATACCAGAGAGAAACCATGCCAGACGCTTGATTGTTAAGCGCAGGTGGAGACCAGGGATTGTGTATCGCACTAGCCACCAATGGAACAAAGCGACACCCATACAGTCGATAGAAATGAACACAATGAAAAGACGGCGAATTGGCGGGCATATCAGTGTTCCAATAATGCAGAAGGCAGGTTTTGCTACTGTGGAAGTACCAGCAAACAGGAAGCAGAATATCTTTAGTTGGTGCGGTTGGAAGGTGGGATGACGAAGATGGATATAGACTTGAACAAACTGTGAGCAGATCAGACCTCTCACAAAACCTGCTTTTGTTCTCGTGGTGGAGAATAAATACCCCCTGTATGGAGACAAGGACACCAACTGTAGCAAGGAGGATTGCTGTAGCAGATGCTTTAACCTCCATCAAAGTGAGAACCGACAGGACAACGAGTAGTGGGCATGCCGAAATGGACAGTGTGAGGTTAATTCTCGGAATGGGACCAGCCGAGCGAATAGTGGGGCAGAGAAAGATGCAGTGGAGAAGATGTAAGAGTAACGACAGGGTCGTCAAAATTGCTCCAAGCGACTTCAAGTTAAACATGCTTGGGGTGCAAATTCCCCAACAGTAATGCTTTGCGGGCATCTAACATATTGCGGATGGAGTCAAAGTCAAATAACTGCGCTCGGATTCATGATTATGTGAAGTAATGCTCTAAAGGCTCCTAGGAATCCAATTAACTTTGTCAGAGATATACATGAGGCGTACACGATAAGCGGAGGACTCGCACCCACGTAGCGTACTATCTGGGCTCCCCTGAACGCGAGGAAGCTAACTCGCGCTACGTCTTGTTTCTATAGCTCTCCCTAATATTGGTTGTTGCACCATATCACCAAATCAAGGACACACGCATCCAATCTGATGGACCCACAGTAAGCGTGGACGTCTAATGGCATACAAATGCATTCAAATTGAACGGACCCCGAGAAGGGATACGGTGTGGAAGGAAATATGCCATGATTTATTCAGCATCACTATCCGCAGAGCACGACTGGCAAAATACTTGCTTGAAGTCATTGAAAAGGATGTTTGCACCGATAGAAGACGACAATACTTATACATGACTAAACTCCCCCGGGTGAACTTTGCTTATGTTTCTACCTACCATGTCGGAAGAGCACATGCGGTAAGCCGCTTCTTTGCATACAATACAGTAAAGTCGTTCCAAATAATTACATAGTTGCTTCAATTCTCTACAATTTGTTTAGGTCACTTCGGACACTATAAGTACCGATGTTCTCTGTCCGTTGCGCCTGTCGATGTTCTATCACTTCAACGAGTCCGTTGACAAGCCAATTACCGTTTGTAGAACCGCCATTTCATCATGAGGCTTTGCCATTGGTTTCTGCTGGTGAAGTCCTGGTTTGCTATTGACACAGTTGCTACGCACGCGGACAGTGTGAATAATTCAGCACTTGGGACGCGTGCTGCCGGAGGATATCTCTCAGTGGCCTACTTTGTCAACTGGGTCAGTCATCATGACACATCCTGGACTATTCTTGTCCAAAGTTAGTACATTGACTAACATTCCAAAGGCAATATATGGCCGCAACTTCAATCCTAGTGACCTTCCCGTCGACAAGCTGACGCATGTGCTGTATGCCTTTGCGAATGTGCGCCCCGATACTGGGGAGGTATACATGACGGACACTTGGGCCGATGTTGAAAAACATTATCCCGGAGACTCCTGGAGTGATGAAGGAAACAATGTTTATGGCTGTGTAAAACAGCTCGTCCTTCTCAAACAAAAGAACCGAAATCTCAAGGTGCTTCTATCCGTGGGTGGCTGGACATATTCCACGAACTTTGCTGCTGCGCTGAGCACTGCCTCTGGCCAGGCAAATTTTGCGTCATCCGCCACGGACCTAGTTAAAAACCTCGGATTCGATGGTATTGACATTGACTGGGAGGCACGTTACGCATCTCCCTATCACACGCTAGACCGTCATGCTAAGTAGCACAGCAGTACCCTGCCGATGACGCCCAGGCCAATAACATGGCCTCCACTCTTGACCAGCTGCGTACGGTGGGCACTACGAGACTCAAACTTTGGAGAAAAGAGACCTAACCTGACTGGTCGATAGTCACTAGATACCTATAGTGCTGCACATGCCAACGACTACCACTTCTTGATCACGGTTGCTTGCCCGGCCGGTACGTTGGATCAGCACCTATGACGATTACAGCATTTGTGGCAAGGCTAACTTTTGATCAGGTCCGACACATTATGAGAAACTTCACGTAGGCCAGATGGACACTTACATCGACTTCTGGAATCTGATGGCCTATGATTATGCCGGTAGTTGGGACACAATTGCCGGGCACGGCGCCAACGTCTACGCTTCGACAGCCAGCCCATCCAGCACTCCATTCAATACCGACCAAGCAGTAGCTTACTACACATCTAACGGAGTGGCTGCGGAAAAAATCATCCTGGGTATGCCTCTGTACGGCCGCGCTTTCATGGATACAGCGGGACCGGGCGCGCCCTACGCCGGAGTAGGCAGCGGTAGCTGGCAGAACGGCGTTTGGGACTACAAGGCACTGCCCCTGACTGGAGCCAGCGCTCACTACTTATCGCAGCCTCTCGCTAGCTACAGCTACGACGAGGCTCGGCGAATGATGGTTAGTTATGATACTCCACAAGTTGCACACGATAAAGCCCAATATGTTATGTCCAAAGGACTTGGCGGGGGTATGTGGTGGGAGAGCAGTGGCGACAAGAATGGCACTGACAGCTTAATCGCGACGGTACGTGCGCTAAACTGCCCCCGGCAACATTGCTGTATTGGGGATTGGATCACTGACAAACTCTCAAAGGTGGTTGACACTTTCGGGACCCTGATGCAGGCTCCGAATCAGCTAAATTATGCTGCCTCCTCGTACGACAACTTGAAGGCCGGATTCGGGTCCAGGTAGGGGGGCCGCGCTGGAATGATTTTCTATTGCGGAAATTCGCTCATTTGGTATTTCCAACTTGATCTCTCGACCCAAAGAGTGATTACCTACAGTATGCGGTATTATGCATTTCTTGGTTTTTCTATGCTTTCAAACAAGGAAAGTGTCGCGACCCACGTTTGTACTTTGCCACGATCTCGAGTTATATAGTGTCCCGCACAAACTAATTACAAGTGAAGAAATGGAAAATATGGTATTTTTAAAAGCCTCTCACGCTGCACGTAGAATAGAACCTTCGATGATAGTGCTCGAACATACGGAAAGCCAGTGCCTACACTTCACTTCGTTCTTCACCACCCTGCCGTTAACGTTTGGATAGGGGCTTGTTTCGCTTCAGAAATCTTCTAGAACATGTTGGGCATGTTATTCTGGTGGAATGGGAGACCCCGTTTCGAGATACCCTAGAAAAATTAGCGTCCCATTCCGCCGTTCAATATCGGACTTATATGAAAAACAACCGTGAATCAATTTCCGTGCATTTACATAATATTACTCCTCTGTGATCCGCTTGAGAATAAGCTGCCTTTTGATAGCCGGTTACTTCGTCCGTTAACTTGATCAGCATGGTATTCTGTCCACAAATGAGTGAAGATAAACAGTTCGAATAAACGGCCAATTACTTTTGGATCAAAGCTTCCTTAAACCCCCGGTGATGGTGGTGACGAATAATTCATTTGCCCAACGTAAGTCGGTCTAAACACACGATGCTCCGCAGGAGCGAATTCATGCCTGCCGACCGGTTGCAACTGCCGGTGGGACATTTTGAAGCTTGGGGGTCTCTAAATAGGAGAGGTGATATGCAGTTCCGGCCGGTCCAACGCAGCTCCTGAACTATTCCATAGATACCTTTACTTTTATCCTTCAAGTCACGAGCAATGGACGATATAACACAGATTGTCCGAGCAATTGGTCAGCAACAAGGAGAATATGCATACTATCGTGCCTGCTACAGTCTATTCAAACAGCTACAGGAAGTGGTGGCTGAAGTGACCGAGGATTTGGATGGTCTTCACGCGAGCCAGCAGTACAACCCTTCCGAAGGATTTTCAGCTGTCTCCCGGGCCGCAGAGCATTTCAGGTTGTCAGTTCAAAGCATCTCTTCTCGAGAAAAGAATGCTCGATTAGCATTGGCTGGCCTATGTTCGTCCAGCAATTTGCACATCGACCGTGGCCGTGCAGGGAATGCCGAATAAGAGATTTCAGTTACATTGAAGATAGAAATCTGAATTATCGCCACAACGGGGGAGTTGCTCTATACTGAAGTTCATGAAAGGTGTTCCATGGGCACGGATTGCGAGATATCCCTAGCGGCATTATGTACTTAAGTGAAAAACGTGTCTTCGAGCTTCGTAGTAGGATAGACCTCTTATCAGAAGTTTTCCAAAACTATCATACGAGATTAGACCTCCCTGACTGATTTCTGCCGCGGTCGTCTCGGTTGAATCCACTGAACCCTAACGTATCTACCAATGCTCCCACCCCTCCGCAGCAATCCGCAAATGGTATGAGACCTGAGTTCCCTCCTTTGGGTCTGTTCCATTTAGGATCTTGCCAATCAATACGCCATATGTATAGTAATTTTGGAGATGACAATTCTGGGATAGCGTCGTGGCGGGATCAATGAGATTCCCACACTTAGTCACGATAGGAGCGTCGTTCTACTCTCCATGAGAAAGGGCAAACTAATGAGGCTGGCCGTGGTACACTCACATCATTGCAAAAGAAAATGCCCGAGAAGTCTTCAAATGCTACCCGCGTGCAGCTGTTCGGAGAAGATTTACACACGATGTCCTTGACATCACGAAGATGGTCAATATTTGCAGTAGTGGCATTTAGGTAGGCTAGCCCAAGGCTCCAGTCGCATTGAAAGTTGCCTGACTATAACATGATGAGTATCGAACTGGCTGAATTCTGGTGAAGAGAGGGGAGTCACATCGCGGGTTCTCAGTTTAGAGTGGTAAGGACTTGCAGGGACGGGAAAACGTGGCGAGTCTATGACCTAAGTGGCTTTTAGCATGAACAGGCTGTAACGAAGTACCGCAGACCGAGGTAGCCCCACCGTCGTCGAAGATGAAGAATGTTCATCTCCGAATGCGCCCCCCGCAAGCTGTGCAGAGTCAGCGGAGCTGATTCGACATAGAACGAACGATCGCTTACGGCGTAAATTAACAAGACAGACACTGTGATGAAATTTCGAACCATTTTCAGGTACGAGGCAGAGTGGACAATGTGCAGTGGAGATCGTACGGTGGATGAGGAGTAGAATTTAAGATATCGGTCGTCGGGGTTAGAAAGCTAGTTAACTAGGGCTCTAAGGTCAGCCAATCTGGATGGCATGATGTTTTATTTATAGTCGTATAAACTCTAGCCGCCATATACAGGGCGACTCACAGCTTAGTTCAAAAACCAATGCCCGCAAAGAATCCAATCTGTGCAAAGAATTCATACGGGAAGACTCCGTTTAAATGTTTTACTCCAAAGGACCACCAGTAAACAGTAAACATCACCTAACAAAGCCAACTGGACCGGATTGCCACTCACTAAATCGGACTTTTTATGCTGGGTTTGCATTCCTCCGGCCAAATCCACGTCATAGTGCAGAACGTTCACATTAATTCTCTTATAAAGCGACACCAAGCCCCACGGCTTGAGGCTGATAGAAGGTATGGCAGCCTAAACAGCAAGTTCTCATATTTAAACCAGTAACGCACGCTGCCTCTGAGACTCTCAAAATGAAGCTACAACTTCTGATCATGGCATTAGCCACCGTGACCTATGCAGAAGACGATTTCGCAAAGCTCTCCCAGGATACCTGTGGCATGCTCAGCCGATGGACGCAGGCGTCCAATGTGAGCAGTTCTCTAGGCTATGTCTTACAAGGGAAAGCCAACATATTGTCTATTGATTCCAATTGCGAAGGCAGACTAGCGAGTGCTCTGTCGTCCTGTAGGTGCTTACGTTGACTCTAGCCCGGGGATGCAGCGACTGACTTTGTAGCAGGCCTCATCGATTCTAAAGATGGCTGTACCTCCCTTATTCTCTCGTGGGATTTCCTCGGTCATTCTGGGCAAGAAAGCATTACGAACTTTAAAAGATCGCCGGAGGGCCAGAATGTTGACTGCTCCTGTATGGCCCGATATCCATCGACTACAAATGACAATGTGGCGACCACGCCGACCGTCACTGGGACACTCATATCGGCACAACCTTCAGATACCGCAGACTGTGTGAGCAGTACCACAGGCAGTGGGGGCAGTACCACAGGCAGTGGGGACAGTACCACAGGCAGTGGGAGCAGTACCTCGGACAGTGGGAGAAGTGCAATTAGGACCATCGCCTCAAGTTCCCAGCCCCGTCAATCCCCGGCCGCAACAGCGTCACCTTCGCCTGTGTCAGAGCCTGTTTGCATCATCAAATTTAAAGATCTCAACTCTAACCCGCCAGGGAAATGTTATTGCTCCAACGGTACAACAAGGGAGTGGAAAACTGGAGTGTGTGATGTTTACCCTTGAATAGACCCCCTTGAAAAAACACTGTTTGTCAAAGTTGGTTTCCAGATGCTGCGCAGGATATTAAGCATGTCTATCACTATATATTAAAGCTGTACCCGTGCATTCGAAGTTGCCTTCCATATTTTACACAGGAAAACTATCCGGGACCCTAACGCTAGGACAACAATGGATCCTGCTATACTGCTTTGAGCGATGGGGTGGATCCTAAGCCCGGATTTCCTAGCCGGAATCGGAATAGCTTGTGCTGACTGATGGTTCTAGAACAAATCTCTGGAAATCGTGGCAATTTCGAATTTACTTTTAACAGTAGGGAGGAGAAAGGGAGAAGAAATGAGAAACACCCACTGTCTATTCCGATGTTTGTGTATTCGGAGATAGTATGCCCGCTAGTTGAAGCTACGAGGAACCAGACAGCTTTGGATAGGAATGATCGACAGTCTCAACACGCATAATAGGAGGAAATCAAGCGAATTTAAGTGTATAATTCGTGCACCCGAAGCTGGATAAGAACCACACAGTCTGATTACATATGCTGATCGCCGCCTGGTGCCACGGATAGTCCACTGGTACAGTATTATGAATCATGGTGATTCCTGCGCAGCGCAGAGTATACCACAAACTGGAGTTCATCCACACAGAGATCGCAGGATCGCAGAAATTAATCCCAAACTTTCCCTTCACAGATTGCTCCTCAGTTTCATCTTGCGCTGATATACTGCATGTATCGGGCAAAGGAATCCCAGACTGCATTCTGACGCTTCGGAATGGAAGAAGTCGGCGCTTTGGGAATCGTTAACTTCGCAGACTTCTCCCCCACATAGTCCGCGGGAGTTCTGTGGACTGCAGGTCGTGAACGAGTATTCTGTAGTGTCTTAGAATCATTTATGACATTAGACACCGCTCAAAGGCTCACCATCTGTTCCATTGTCGGAATGGGAACACCGGGATGGGAATGATAGGTGTAAATTCGGCCATTCGGCATCTCCATAGTTAGCCAGCTCCGGATGGAGTAAAGACGCCAAAAGTCGTTATGGCGTCGGAGAAGGTTGTTACGCCGTTTACGCAACTGTTCCTGTTTCACACGGTTGGTCTTTGCCGCCATTTAGGGATTTCGTGGAGACGATAAAAGGAAGAGGATGCAAAACTGATTTAGTCGACAGGAATTCCGATAGCTAATACTTAAGGTGATGCGCTCGATTTGGAATGGAGCACAGTTTGGCCGTTCGCTGTGGTACGGTGGCGGACATTCGCAGTTGGCAGCTGGAGATTCGTGTCTGCCATTTTTAAATTAGGACAACGGTCAAGATAAGGGAGATGTCTGTAAGACCGATGCAAGATCCGTAACGTTTGAACGGCTACGATACCTGGGTTTTCAGAATATTTCTAATGGGACATTTGAGAACATCACGCATATTTGATAGGAAATCACATACGGGGGAGCTCAATAATCGGCAATATTTGACTCAGCGCAAGTATTTGCTTTGCCACCAACCTGTACTTTACCTTTTGCTTTTGTCAATGGCGATGAAATGCACACTGAACTGTGCAAGAACGTTTGCTTTACAAAGTGCTTTTAGGGAGAAGTTAACTCTCTGTACGGTATAGCCGGTTTACCCCCACACCTGTTGAAGAATTGTTTGAGGATCACTGGAAAATGCGAAGCTCCTTTGGTTAACTCCCATCCCGGTGACATGAAACGCCCTGTGTGGTGAAACGCCTACCAGGTACCTGCACGTTCGAGGCCGGTCACTCCTAATAACTTACACCCCTTGAATATTGCTTGAAAGCTGCAGAGACAATAATCATGAATGCTTTTCGGATAGCTCTTTTCAAACACGGATTACGAAATTTTAGCATGGCGAATTACAGATCGAGACGCATGGCTAGAAAGTCCGCTGTTGAGTACTATCACGCCAAGATCATCAACAAAACGTCTGAGATGGGTAAGAAAGGTAATGTTGCATCCATTCGTCTACCTTTCGGCTACAACTGATTTCTGAACTTAGCATAATCATATTGCCTTGGGACATAACAATTGTGGTGAAAGTCTTGGCACCAGAAAGGTACAAAGGTATATGAATTAAAAATACCGATAATGCCAATACACAAGAAAAATGTCAACAAAAGAGGGTCGCAATTTTACTAGTGCGCCCGAGGAATATTCAGCACCCCCTCTGCCTGATGATCCTAAGGCTCACAACGACCTTACTAAGCTCATCCCCTAGTTACCTATTTTGCACTTTCTATAGTATATAAAAAAATACACTCTCAAGTACTCAATTGGCTACGCCCGTACTAGTCCGTACTGTAACGACCACGTTCTGACATCATATCCTTAACTGAATGGCTTGGCACTCCTATGTGTAAGTCATGCCCTGACATCACGTGCTGTAATTCAAACAACCGTCAGATTTGGTTTAGTCCTGGGGCTAGTCACTTTAGAGTTAGCTTCTATTGACAAAAGGTTTACGTGAGCTTTTCTCCAGGGCGAACTGAAGGAAATCTCGATTATTGAATTCCCTGTTCCTCGGGAATCCCGTAGACCCCGTACTCCACGTGGCCGATGGCCCGAGCAGCAAGATGTGGGGTTCCACCGAAAGCACCACAAGCCACTGCTTAATATGCATCTCGTCAAAAGGTCCTGGTGAAAACCGTCAAACGGCGGAATTCGGCTCGATGAACTTACCTGTATTTGCCCGCCCCTTGGCGGACCCGCCCCATCAACTTCTGCTTAGACTGGTTCTTTGCTCCCCTGGCAATATTCAGTTTTCCTCTTTGGCTTTCATTGGTTCGTTGGATATTCAATGCGTCTGGGGAAATACATGATAAGAAAAAACCTCGTTCAACTGCCCGACCATGTATAACTCAAATATCTAACTAACATACTTATAGTTCTGTAACGTGGCTTGCAATTTGTTCAAGATTCTCGCTAGACATGGCCTTCTGGGTTTTGCTGTGGGCCTTTTTTCCACTGAACCCGATGGGCTATCGCAAATCGCCACTCCCCGACCACTATGAAATGGAGAAGAAGTGGAGCAAGCGTTGGCGGCGTTGCCTATTTGCCTATTAGCCATCGCATGTGGCTACACTTCTACAAATACACGGAAATTGACTAATATGGCAATTCGTGGAATAAGAGCGGATGGAAGGCGAGCCATCACAAAGTTTGCAACCGTCACGATGAACTGGTAACTGAGTAGATCGAGCGAGTCCAGCGACCCGTTCGTTCGGGGGCCGTTAACATGCGTCCCCCACCCCGGCCCCGAAAGCAGCCAGTGTCACTAGAAAGGCTTCCAGCAATAATCCCCGGGATCATGCTGTTTGCTAATGGGGTAGAAATGATCTGGTGGGTTATGCGAGAGGTTCTGTCGCTATCTTTTTCTTTCCGATTTTCTTGTCTACTAAGGGCATCTTTGAAGTACCAGATTATCCAGGTGAACGTCTTAGTTTATTATGCGTGTATGACATCGTAATCAATAGTGACTGCGAGCCTTACCGGACCAGGGGCAAGCGTGCCGCCAATACCCCCAATGTCGGCAACAGCACTTGTGTAGGCGTTGTGGACAAAGGCTGCTGCAGGAGTAATACAAGAGCAGATGCCAGTGAGAACATCGCAAATCTTCATACCCTGAACCTGAAGGCCAGCATTTTGCGCCGCTATGGCCGAAACATCGAATCCCGACCAGCCCAGATTGACAGTGGAGCCGAAGTCAAATTCACCCCAGGTCGAAGCGTAGCCGCCATTAGCGTCAACTGGAACGAGAGAACCAGGCGCTGCAGCCCAACCGCCTTGAGAATTTTCGTCGAACGCGATGTAACGAATTTGACCAGCTGCTAAGGTAAACTTTTTGCAAGCCTTTCCATACCAACCTCCTATTATTCCATCAGGCCCAATTTTGTTCCAGACCACGACAGTCCAATTTTCGGCTTTGCCCCGACCTTCAAAACGTACAACGTATTTATATTGGCTCGCCTGCGCAGGTGGGACTTCAATGATGTTGCTTCCATATGGAATGCCGACGTTGCCCGAGTATTGCACGCCACTGCCGCTGGAGTTTGTAATTCCACCAAATCCGAGAATCGAGTGTAGTTCCCTAGGGCCCACAAGAACCTTTCCCGGGGTTCCTCGCGACACAGCGGTACTGGGGGTTCGATGATCGGCCTGAAAACAAACTCCAGGACTGCCAATGGTGATGATCCAGCGGAGCACACGCATACTCCAGAATTCAGTCCAATTCAATCGAAAAATAAGACGCTTGCGAGAGCTGATTACGGTGGATCCAATCTTGTGGAAAGAGAATAGAGATGTGGGGAGTGCTCGTCTGAACCCTTTCTTGGATGTCAATTTTGTCTCCACGAGGCGAAGTCAGAATGCACCAAAACACATTTAAAGGCCATATCAAACAAGGCAGCTCATACTAACAAGATCACTGAATTTGCCACGCATAAATCAGTGGGTATTTATTCGAATCAAGTAGACGCATTCCGTTCATTTCTGGATCATTGGATCAAGCGTATGACTGGTCTAACGTAGAAAGTGGGTTTGATCAGTCGTGGCAATTCTGGTGGGCGCAAATCTTGGGTTACTTTGTATTCTGAACGTGAACTATTTCTGGGAGAAAGCTGCCAGACCTGGCATCGTAATGGAAGAGTCCATGGAGGCATACAGTACATCACCGCTGGATGGGTGCTTAATGGGAGACCTGGGGAGGGCTTGAGTGCCATCGAGCACTAGCGCGTACTTGGTCCTTAAACATGGACGCAGTCAGATGACAAATTCGCCTGATTAAACATCCCTTTGATCTCCCAAGGTGATGAGCTGGAAACCCTGGTCGCCATGATCGACAGCTCGTTCGTTGACCAATTCAAGCGGCCTGGTTCTTTTGTGACCAAGCCGGGTAAATTCGCTCAATCTAAAGCCATTGCGGTGACCAATCGTGACACTTCAAATGGATACCTTGTGTGGATGAATGGTCCATCGTAAACAGTTCGGATTCATTCATCCAGATCAACCACCTAGTTTAACAACCAGAGTTCGCTTCATTTACGGTCTGCATTCATCAAAGGTGACTGCTCAAAAGTGACAGTGTAACTGGCCACTTGAAATAATCATTCTTGATTCCGTTCGCATCAACTAGCTGTTGAACAGGAGTGCATTCCCTTTGTGTAATTCAAATCACCTAGGACAGTATGGACAGATGTGCGCTTTTACACGCCTCCTCCCCACCTGTAGATTGGCCATTCAATCCATCCCAGTTGGCGAATTGTATTCACTGGCCATCTAGTTCTCGGTGCACTGACTCATTTGTATCATACCGATTAAACTAATTTGACGATAGTCCGTATTAATCAAATATCCGGAGGCAGTCCAATTCCACTGTTGACGGGCTGTCTCTTTTACTTCCAGCATAAGATAATTTGCAATTTGAACAAAGCGCAGCAGTTGTAATATCGATTTATACCCTATAATTGCTAAAGATACACGTCCACCTCGTTCCAACTCTTGGCTGGTACATCCTAAATTTTCAAACGCCGATGGGAAACCGGGTACATAGTGAACCAGAGTGGCGTGTACTGGACACATGATTTCCCGGGCGTACCGCTCATGCCTAGCGGAGGGCTTTCCATGGATAGACTGTGGGCAATTATGCACAGGGCAGATCAAGATGAACGGTCATCTGACCGTATTTGCAGCATAATATGCCGTTTTGAGTGGGGTCGCAGTCTATGGAACCGGGCCGAATGAATCTCTGTATCTTATTTAGGTTTGGAATTCCATTGATTGGGACAGACTCAACATACTTGGTCTGGAAGTATCATGTAACAGGCTCTCCTCAACGCTGCAATGATTACACGGAACAGGTGGCTGTAGAGTCTTGAACAATATCCATTATTAGACACGATGTCAAATTTAAAGTCGGTATAGGGTAAATATCCAATACAACACCTTCTCATTTTGTGTTCGACACTCTGGATCAATGACCAGACTGATGACCTGACCGATATGTTGAGCAGCCTGCAACCTGTACTGACTGGAACTGAACTAACCCGGATCGAAAATAGCATCGCAGCTAACCAAGAGAGCACGCGGAATGCCATATT